GGCAACGCTTTTCCACCTCCATACTTGGAATGCACACAGATACTTCACCATTCATATCTCAACTCAAATAACATCTTCAAAAGCTTCCCAGACCTCACAATCTACAGAAGCATACCCTGGTGAGAAGCTGCTGGTGAGGGGAATGAATCAGGAGCCCTTTGGCCGCAATAAGTTTAGAAATGTATTAGGTATTCAAGTGAATATTTAATTCACTTATCATAGACCCCATTTTACTGATGTTATGGTACTTATCACTATCGAAAATTATCTTGTAAAGTTCTTTACTTCTTTATTATATATGCTAATAAAATTCATTCATTCATTCATTCCTGCTATGCCTATCAGAAGCATTAGCCCAAATAAGAACTGTGATCTTTTCTTATTTCACTTGAAAGCATTCATTTCCGGGTGCCTGGTACTACTGGTTAAAAAGTACCCATGGGCATTTTTTTTTAAGTCTATTTTAGTTCTTTTTTAATTCCTAAGTGTGACGATTGAGTTTCCACACTCAAACCTACGTTGTGAACCTTTTTACAACATCAGCACATTACCAGTCTGACGTTTAAAAATAAAGGTTAATTTCAACTGTCCTATTAATTTTACAAGATTCCAAACCTTTTTCCTTAAACCTTTTTACATCAGTACATTACCTATCTGATGTTTAAAAATAAATTTCCGGCTGGGCGTGGTGGCTCAAGCCTGTAATCCCAGCACTTTGGGAGGCCGAGGCGGGTGGATCACGAGGTCAAGAGATCGAGACCATCCTGGTCAACATGGTGAAACCCCGTCTCTACTAAAAAATACAAAAAAAATGGCCGGGCACGTGGCTCAAGCCTGTAATCCCAGCACTTTGGGAGGCCGAGGCGGGTGGATCACGAGGTCGAGAGATCGAGACCATCCTGGTCAACATGGTGAAACCCCGTCTCTACTAAAAATACAAAACATTAGCTGGGCATGGTGGCTCGTGCCTGTAATCCCAGCTACTCAGGAGGCTGAGGCAGGAGAATTGCCTGAACCCAGGAGGCGGAGGTTGCGGTGAGCCGAGACCGCGCCATTGCACTCCAGGCTGGGTAACAAGAGCGAAACTCCATCTCAAAAAAAAAAAAAAAAAAAAATACAAAAAAAATTAGCTGGGCATGGTGGCGCGTGCCTGTAGTCCCAGCTACTCAGGAGGTTGAGGCAGGAGAATTGCCTGAACCCAGGAGGCAGAGGTTGCGGTGAGCCGAGATCGCGCCATTGCACTCCAGCCTGGGTAACAAGAGTGAAACTCTGTCTCAAATAAATAAATAAATAAATAAATTTCCATTTCAACTGTCCTATTAATTTTACAAGTCTTCAAACTATGCTTCTAAAAAACTGAAAAATTCAACTACTGGCCCGCCTTATTATTATGAGATTTCTATTAGATATAATATCAACTTATCAATTTACATGAATATTGTTGATTTTGAGATGGCATGGCCTGTCACCTTATAATAGTACACTTTTTGATAAGGATAAGGTGAATATTAAAAGTATTTACTTTTAACGATTAAATTGGGGTCTCTAATATCTTACTTTTGGGATACTTAGCAAATAGTCACTTACATAATATACTATCTACATGCACCAATTTAAACATTTTTAATTCCTTTATTTTTTCTAGAATTTCAAAGTTTTCAGACACTGCTACCAAAAAAATCACAATAGATTTTTTACCTGGTTGTTACACATTACAAATGATCTCATAGTAAATCATTAATCACTGGGATGTACATTTTATAAGGACAGAGATACTTATCCAGTTTGTTCATTGTACCCCCCAGCACCTACTCCCGGCATACTATCAGCTTAAAATAATATGTGTTGTCAAATACCTGCAAGCTCTTGTTCTGTCTTATGGAGATCAGCATATTACTTCCACATTTAGAGCATACTGCTGATACGTGTAATCTCTTCTTGCTATTGCTTGATGCCATGAAAATATTAAGGATGATCTGAACAGCAATTCTAAATCACAAGTTCTTGACTTTCAAGTTAAACAGTGATATGTGGCAAATGGGTGGCAAGAGATCAACATAGATTTTCGCATAAGGTGTGATCAACATAGACTCTCTTATGTTGTGCTAAGGAGGCAAGACTCAATATGGAGTCTGGATACACAGACTGCTCTAGGGCTAGGGAGAAAGCCATCAACAGAAAACCGTCTGTCTGTGCATGAGAGTATCAAATTTTATACTGATGCCAAGGTGAATGTTAAATAGTGCTACATGGCTGATAACGAACATTGCCATAATAAAGTAGAAGCACCCATTGTGAATCATAAAAAAGCAGCTCAGTTTTTGGTGTGCTGCAAGTAATTTATACTAGTGAAAATTAAAATAGTCAAGTTCATGAACAATCATTCATGAATAATCAAGATTATTCCTAAGACATTACTCTTGCCCTCACATTTCTAAGAAAAAAACAGCAGAGATACAACTAGTTTGCTGGGAACTACATATAACACAGTGAACACGAGTGGGAATGTGTGTCATGTGAATGCCACCTGTCATGTCAAAGCGGGCTGACACTGCAGGTCTGAAGCAAGCAGCTCTCTACCACCTCACAAATCCTAAATACAAATCCCTGTTCCATCTTCAACCAAGTAACCTCTGGCATTTATAACCTGTTTTTTTTTTTTGTTTTGTTTTGTTTTGAGATGGAGTTTTTGCTCGTTATAACCTGTTTTTGTTTTGTTTTGTTTTGTTTTGTTTTTTGAGACGGAGTTTTTGCTCGTTACCCAGGCTGGAGTGCAATGGCGCAATCTCGGCTCACCACAACCTCCGCCTCCTGGGTTCAGGCAATTCTCCTGCCTCAGCCTCCTGAGTAGCTGGGATTACAGGCGTGCGCCACCATGCCCAGCTAATTTTTTGTATTTTTAGTAGAGACGGGGTTTCACCATGTTGACCAGGATGGTCTCGATCTCTCGACCTCGTGATCCACCCGCCTCGGCCTCCCAAAGTGCTGGGATTACAGGCTTGAGCCACTGCGCCCGGCTATAACCTGTTTCTTAATATGAAAATAAGAATAATCCCTGTCTAGATTTGTAAATCATAAAATTTATAAAGAAAAAGAAAAGTAAACATATACTTCTGATCCTTTGATCAGCATGGTCTGCCTACCTGGCTGGCTGGACTGAGGAGGAACAGGTTCAGAACCCACTGGGAAAACTCCAATACAAGGTAAGATGACAAGTAAACAGGCCATTATTTAACAAACAAATATGTATTATACCACTTTTATAAAATATGCATTATACCACTTCACACCCACCAAGATGCCTATAATCAAAAAGATAGTAATGGGTGACAAGAATGTAAAGAAACTGGAACCCTCACACATTGCTGGTGAGAATGTAAAATGATACAGTCCCTTTGGAAGACAGTTCCTCAAAATGTTAGGTATAGTTATCATATGAGCCAGCAATTCCACTCCTAGGTAGACACACAGAAAAAGTAAAAACAAATCTACACAAAAGCTTCTACGCAAATGTTCACAGCAGCATTAACCAGGAGGAATAAGAAAGGACCGGGAGGAAACTTCTGGGATGGAGATGCTTGGTGACTTGACGGTGGTGGTGGTTTTTCTGTTTTAACCTTCACAGGCGTACAGTTTGTCCATCTTCCCTCAGTAACACTGTTGACTCTCCCATTGAGACAACAGGCATTGAAGCCAGAAGCTTCCTAGGACTCCCTCTGCTCTTTACACATTAGGGGTTAGATTTTTTATTTCCCACAGAAACTTCTGTGAATAAGGTATTTTTAACTTAGGAATGTACCAGAAAAGATTTTAAAAAGTCACACTTGGCTGGGTGCAGCGGCTTACTTGTGTCATCCCAGCACTTTGGGAGGCCAAGTGGGGCAGATCACCTGATGTCAGAAATTGAAGACCAGCCTGGCCAACATGGGAAACCCCATCTGTACTAAAAACACAAAAATTAGCCAGGTGTCATGGTGGTGGGCACCTGTAATCCCAGAAACTCCAGAAGCTGAGGCAGGAGAATCACGAACCTGGGAAGCGGAGGTTGTAGTGAGCCAAGATGGAGAGATAGTGTCACTGCACCTCCAGCCTGGGCGACAGTGAGATTCAAAAAAATTGACACTCATGACTAAAAATTTCTAGGAGATCCTTTTAGTCTGTTTCTGGTTTTCACACACAGACCAACCAAAAAGTGACTGGGGAAAAAAAAATTAACCACCACGCTGTATCTTTCTGAAATTAAAATCTCTGTAGTTATAATTTATTTTTAATAATAGTTTTATATTTTAAAAACAGGACACATACATGTTATGAGTAAAAAGCATGGCTGTGACAGACCAAGTCCATACCAGTAAGCTTTTGAGAACCATTTACACTATGTAGTACTGGTTCAGGCAGACAGAGGAAGAATAAATAATAGTGCTTGAGGAAGAGTAGTGATCAAGAGGGTTGGTCAAGACGGCACCTCACTGCAGATGCTAGAGTAGAAACAACTCCCTCGTAGTGGCATGGGCAAAGTTCCAGATCTCCATGACAAAGATAACCCAACCAATTGGAACAAACAGCCTCCCGATGTGGCTGGCAACTGCAGGGGTAGAAGAACTCAGGCATAGCAGGCCCAGAAACGGGGAGACTGGAGCCAGGGACAAATGCCAAGGAAAGAGTTCCAACTAGCACATGTGTTCATATATAGATACCGCCAACAAAGGGCGTTGCACTCCGCAACAGAACTGAACACAATCTAACAAAGCAGCTCCCACCTTCCTGTCACCTCTTTGGCAGTAGTAGGGCAGGCCATCTCAACTTGGGACACACACAGCCATTCTCATGGTCACGGAGCCTGTCCAAGGCTAGGGTTTTGAGCACACCTAAGCTCAAGAAAAACTAAAGCCTCCCTGATAAAATGAGGTCTAGTCTAGACACAGGAAGCCACAGCCGGTTGACTACTCAGGGCTTCTCAGGACTGGATGTTGGTTGAACTGAGGATTCCAGGAGTAGCATCAGATTTGGAAGCCTCTGAAAGTTCTCGCTGTTGAAAAATAAATAACATCAGTGGCAATACTGCCTCTATCACACATGCCCCGCCCTTCTAAGTATGGGTAAGTGTCAGCAAAAGGTCCCCTGAAAGCAGTTTCTCTGAGATCCCTAGCGCGGCATGGGTTGCATTAGGAGCACCATTCTGTTAGACATAGAGCGCATGTGCACCCATGCCCGTGACCTCTTTCCTCAGCCAGTCCATTCTGTTACACCTCACAGAAGAGAAATCCTTCATACAGTCATGCACGGCATGATGACAGTTAATGACTGGCCACATACACCATGGTAGTCCCCTAAGATTATGCCATATTTTTACTGTACCTTTTCTATGTTTGGATACACAGATACTTACCACTGTGTTACAACTGCCTACAATATCCCAGGAATAGCCTGAATCAAAACCCACAATTGCCTACAGTATTCTGGTTTGTAGCCTGGGAAGAAAACACCATCCCACATAGTCTAGGTGTATAGGCTGTACTGTCTAGGACTGTTAAGTACACTCTATGAAATGTGTACCATGGGTGGGGCAATTTCATTCTCAGAATATATCCCTGACATGGACACATGACTGTGCTTCACAAAGCTACATTAGGGTTGTCAAGCTAAGTAGGCAACAAGCTTTAATCTCTTGAGCCCTTTATAAAACAATGGGCCAGAACATTTATCTACCAATCCCTGGGGCTGAGGACCTTGTAACCTGCTGATGATTTGATCTCATGCTGGAGCACATGGTATAGCAGCAAAAGGTAAGACATGAACGGCCATTGAGAAAGACATTAGCACGGAGGTTAGTTTAGTGGCTTTGGTGCTGCCTGGTGGAGTCTATCGGCTATAGCAACTAAACCAGATGAATCTGCCTAGGACTAGCCACAGAGATAGGCAGGTACATTTCAGCCTCAAATAGATCAAATGGGCCTTGGGTGAACAAGCAGAAAGAGAAACCTGGACCTCTGTCCAGCAATCAGTTGGCCAGAGTGACACACACCCACTTTTATAGGTGGAAGCACCACCAGCCACATAATTTGAAAACATGCCAGAGTAGGAAGCCAGTTTCAGTGATCAAAACCAGCCACAGCCTTGGCCCGCCGGTTCCATTCTCCATCTCTGCGGCCATCAGGAGAGGAGGCAGGCTAGGGTTTCACTCAATATCCCCTCAAGGGTAAGGGACAGCCTCACCACTCCCTGGTAAAGTACTGAGAGAAGAGAACACAGATTCAGTAAAAGGCATTGTTGTTAGGTGTTAGCAAATGTAGAGTAGGATACTAGAAAGTGAAAAGCATTCTGGAAAGCCTTTTTTCCAGTGCTTCATCTATGGGTCAATAGTTCAATGTATGGAAAGAGGCAAAGGTGAGGAAATCAGCATTAGCTAGCTGAGAGGAGACAGAGCTGGCGATTGAGCCCTGAGGGGTTAAGAAGACAAATACTCCAGGAAATAATCAGCACACGGGCCACGAGCCTCACTGTCGGCAGCACACGGCTGGGGCTCCCCTCCCCGCGTGATGGGGCCTCCATTCCTTCCAGCTATTGCAGACCTTTGAGGTCACAACTGGGGAGGGTCAAGGCTTTCTGTTAAACATGATTTTTAAAAACTGCCTGACCTTAGAGGCTGAGAATCCAATTCAAGTCTGACAAGTTTTCTTATTAATCATTAGGCTAATCTGTAATGAATGTAAGTCGGATGTGTTTTTTGAGTCCATGAGAGGAATTCCTGCTTCCTTTGAAACACAGCCGAGATGACTGGTTAGTGTAGCCCTATGCCCAGATGAATGAAGCCAGCAGATGACAGATGAGTTTGGAAAGGGACATGGGACATGCAGGGGTTGCCATACAGACCTGAAGCCCAACAGTGGAACTGTCAGAGGGGGACGGATCCTTCAAAGAACAAAGAAGACAGTTACCAAGAACTCCACCAAGAAAGCACCAGGGCAGTGACAGAGGGGTCACCTCCTCCTGCAGCCAGGAAACGGTATATATATATATATAAAGCAGAAGGATCCAGGTTAAATGTCTAGTTGCTGCTGCCAACTTCCTTCCTATATACCGCCCCCTTTAAATCACACCCACCCTGCCATGGTCAAATCAGGAAAGGGATTCTCAGCCTCCAAAGTAGCTGCCCTAGCCAACAGCCTGGGTGTCCCTGGGAAGATACCCACTCTGCCCCAACTGTGTGCTCCCCAGAGACTGGTAGATATTAGAAAAGGTGAATTACCGCAAACTCAGAATAGGTGCTGGCAACAGAGTTAATGCTGAAGTTGCGCTGGACGGGGGCCGAGCTGGGGTACCCACCACTCAGGATGCTGCCGTTGAGGTCCAGGTTCTCCTTGTTGGCTCCCTGCCTGCCGGCACGGGGCGTTTTCTTCCCTGAACAGGTGGAAGTAGCGACTGGCTGCAGTGAAAGGAAAGAGATCCATGTATCATCCTAGCAAACGTGCGAGCACACACACACAAATACCTGCACTGGTTAAAGGCTGACTACCTTTATGTTCATGTCTGTAATACTATACTTTTTAGTTGAAAATATGGGGCCAGGTGCGAGTGGCTCATGCCTATAATCCCAACACTTTGGGAGGCCAAGGCAGGAGGACTGCTTGAGGCCACATGTTCAAGAACAGCCTAGGCGACATGGCAAAACCCTGTCTCTAGGAAAAAATTTCTTTAAAAATATGAATTCTTGATTTACAGGACACCTATCTTTGAGCATAGCCTGATAAAATATTTGAAAGACTGGATGTGTTTTTTGGTTTTTTTTTTTTGAGACGGAGTTTCGCTCTTGTTACCCAGGCTGGAGTGCAATGGCATGATCTCGGCTCACCGCAACCTCCGCCTCCTGGGTTCAGGCAATTCTCCTGCCTCAGCCTCCTGAGTAGCTCGGATTACAGGCATGTGCCACCATGCCCAGCTACTTTTTTGTATTTTTAGTAGAGACGGGGTTTCACCATGTTGACCAGGATGGTCTCGATCTCTCGACCCGCCTCGGCCTCCCAAAGTGCTGGGATTACAGGCTTGAGCCACCACGCCCGGCAGTTTTTTTGAGACAGAGTCTTGCTGTGTCGCCCAGGCTGAACTGCAGTGGCGTGATCTTGGCTCACTGCAACCTCTACCTCCTGGTTTCAAGTGGTTCTTGTGCCTCAGCCTCCCGAGTAGCTGGGATTACAGGCGTGTGTGACCATGCCCAGCCTATTGCTGTATTTTTAATAGAAATCAGTTTCTCCATGTGGCCAGGCTGGTCTTGAACTCCTGACCTCAGGTGATTCGTCCACTTTGTCCTCCCAAAGTGCTAGGATTACAGGTGTGAGCCACCGTGCTTGGCTCCTGGGAAATGTTAGTGTAATGCAAGGGAGTTGCATCCAGAGCATATAAAGAATTCCTGGCCAGGTGCAGTGGCTCACTTGAAGTCAGGAATTGAAGACCAGCCTGGCCAATATGGTGAAACCCCGTCTCTACTAATAACACAAAAAAAATAATCAGCCAGGCATGGTGGCAGGTGCCTGTAGGCCCACCTACTTGGGAGGCTGAGGCAGGAGAATTGCTTAAACCTGGGTGGCGGAGGTTGCAGTGAGCTGAGATCGCACCATTACACTACAGCCTAGGCCACAAGAGTGAAAACTCTGTCTTCAAAGCAAAAAGTAAAAAGATAATAAAGTCCTGTCTGATTTGTGCTCTAGGGATGAAGAAGCATTACATGTTCCACAGAATAAGCATGAACGTTTTCACATGCTACCACATGGCCACCTGTTAGCCTTACAGGGGGAAAATAACATTACAGGTTTTCAGGAAAACCGCTGAAGCTTTCTTTTTCTTATTACCAGAATGTTGGCCATCATTGCCCCTCTGAGTTTAATGCAAGGACTCAAGTGCACACACCAAAGCTGGCCACTGGTGACTAGCACTAGAGGCCACTATTCAGCCTTCCATCCACTCGCAAGTGCACTCAACATGAAGGGACAGAAAAACCCTTTCCCCATCTCCGCAGGACAGGGTGCAGGCGGTGGCTGGGACTACCCTCACCACTCCCTTGAAATCAGCGCTTCCCTAGGCCTTGTGTTTACCTTACGTGCTTTGCCGGGTGTGTTGGGAGTCAGTCCCCGCCGCTTGCTGGGTGTTCGGGGAGCACTGCCATACAGCATCTCTGTCTCTGTCTGCTTTTTGTTCTTGAGTCGCTGTGTTAAAGTCAGAAACACCAGTGATAAATCTTAGGAAGAGAGCAGGCCTGGGAGGGAACAGAAGCAGGGCCCAGAATCTAGGCTCATGTCTCTGCAGACAGAGCTAAAAAGAGCTGCCATGGGCTTCCAATTCAACAAACCCTGGTCCCTGGCAGAGACTCTGGCTGCTCAGATGACCATCTTTCTTACTCTTTCCTGTCTGGCTCTTTCTCTCTCTCCAGTCGATGCATCTCCCACTGTTCTGCCACATACTCCATAAATTTCTGCCCATTTACCAGAAATGCCTTTGAATGTTCCTGTTCCCATACTTCAATGTGTGCCTTCAGCTCCTCTTCCAGCTGAGATCAAAAAGGACATGTTCATAACTTCAAATCTTTTTTGTAAAGCCCTAATGAAATGATTTCCCTAGAGAGTGACTCCTCCACCCTAAAGCATCATTAGCTTCAGGTAGCTGGGCACACAGGCTACAGGTCAGAGTGACCAGAAATCAAAGCCTGGGACATTTCATTCACACGACATACCAGAGTGGAAAATGGCAAGAACCCAAAGTTTGACCGCTAAGGTTTTGGTGCCTGAAGCTGGAGGCAGCATAGGGAAGATCAGCACTATGAGGCAGGCAGTGAACATGAAGAGCAGGACTCTGGAATCAGACTTAATGGGGTTCAATCTGGAATCGCCCTCTTACAGGCTGTGAAGCAGTCAGCAAATTTACATCACTTTTTTTCTGTTTTTTTGATAGAGTCTCACTTTGTCGCCCAGACTAGAGTGCAGTGGCACGATCTCGGCTCATTGCAACCTCCACCTCCCGGGCTTGTGCCTCAGCCTCCCGAATAGCTGGGATTACAGGCATGTACTATCACACCTGGTTAGTTTTTGTATTTTCAGTAGACACGGAGTTACATCATGTTGGCCAGGCTGGTCTTGAACTGCCCCGGCTTCCAAAGGGCTGGGATTACAGGAGTGAGCCACCATATCCGGCCAGATTTACCTAACTTCTTAGTACCTCAGTTTCCTTGTCTGTAAAAATGGAAATAATACCAACCTCACAGGGATGTTGTTAAGGATTAGATGAATTACTAAATGAGAGTGTTTTGAAATGATATTCCTGACACTCAAAAAAGGATTATTATCAAAGTGGAAAATGGTAATGAAGCCAACAGGACTCGCTCTCAAAAGCTTTCCTTATGTAACTGGCTGAATAGTGTTTCCCCCAAATTCTAATGAAGTCTTAACCCCCAGTACCTCAGAATGTGACTGTATTTGGAGACAGCATCTTTACAAAGAGAATTAAGGCCAGGTGTGGTGGCTCATTTCCTGTAATCCTAGCATTGCTGAAGCCCAGATGGGAGGACTGCTTGAGGCCAGGAGTCCAAGACCAGCCTCGTCAACATAGTGAGACCCCCATCTCTTGGGGAAAAAAAAAGAGAATTAAGCTCAAATGAAGTCATTAGGTGGGCCCTAATCTCATATGAACAGGAGTGATTAGGCTACACACATCACAGGAAAACCATGTGCAGACACAGGGAGAAGACGACCGTCTAAAAAGCCAGAGAGAAGGCTCAGAAGAAACCAGCTCTGCCAATGGCATGTGGATCTCAGATTTGCAGCTTCTAGAGTCGTGAGAGAATGAATTGCTGTTGTCAAAGCTGCCCAGTCCGTAGTGCTTTATGATGGCAGTCCTAGCAAAGGAGTGTGCCTTGATACTCAGTTGCTTGTACGGAATATATAACTTATTATCTACTGAAGCTTTGAAGAAAATACTTTTGAGGCAAAACAATAGAAAGAAAAAGACGGCCGGGCGCGGTGGCTCGAGTCTGTAATCCCAGCACTTTGGGAGGCCGAGGCGGGTGGATCACGAGGTCAAGAGATCGAGACCATCCTGGTCAACATGGTGAAACCCTGTCTCTACTAAAAATACAAAAAATCAGCTGGGCATGGTGGCGCGTGCCTGTAGTCCCAGCTACTCAGGAGGCTGAGGCAGGAGAATTGCCTGAACGCAGGAGGCGGAGGTTGAGGTGAGCTGAGATTGTGCCATTGCACTCCAGCCTGGGTAACAAGAGTGAAACTCCGTCTCAAAAAAAAAAAGAAAGAAAGAAAAAGGCATACAAATAGTGAGGTATCTTTGTAGCCAAGCACCAAAAACCCTTAGCAACACTATTACCTTAGGCAGCGTTTTCTGGAGCCTGGCTCGTTGTTTTTCTTCTTTTAGAAGACTTCCTCCCCAATTTATAAATCGATTCGGATCTGAAGCTTTTCTCTGTGAAAAATACAGTTCGTGGAAAACCTGGTACCGTAAGACCAGTAACTTCTGCTAAGACGCTTTGTTCTCATAAAATGATATATATGATTAAAGCGACTCAAAGAGGTCTGCATTCCTGCCTGCTCTCGGCAGTGAGGACGGTGACGTTCTAAAGCCAGTGAGCTGTGGACACTCCCACACATGGGCAAGATCATTCACTGGGGTGCAGGAAAACTACTGTTTCTTTTTAATCTAAAAAGACAGGCTCTTATGTTTAACATCACTGGCTTCCTTCGTTGGTTTGGATGTCAGATGATGGCGTCTCTCCAGGAGACAGGTGTGTGAAGGGACAAGGAGGAGGGGTCTACACTCAGAAATCTGACGGTGGCACCTTTAGTTGCTCACTCACTGCCGGCATTCTGAAACAATGCAGCTTAAATGTGCACAGTGAGGAGACTGATAATCTGGTTTTTGCTACATTTACCCTTAAAATGGATGTTAAAAATGTAAAATGTTTGCCAGGCGCAGTGGCTCATACTTATCATCCCAGCACTTTGGGAGTCTGAGCTGGCAGATCATGAGGTTAGGAGTTCAAGACCAGCTACTTGGGAGGCTGAGGCAAGAGAATCGCTTCAACCCGGGAGGTGGAGATTGCAGTGAGCTGAGATCGTGCCATTGCGCTCCAGCCTGAGTGACAGAGTAAGATTCTGTCTCCAAAAAAAAAACAGCTGAAACAAAAACACATCAACTAGGGCAGTACCTCAAACTCTAAGAAAAGCCTCCAGCTTTCTTCCCACTTCCGGACTCCTTCAAAGAGAGCCGTGTGAGCTTCATAGCAGTTTCTTAACTGCACAATCTCAGCATCATGGAGCTGGAGCAGATTTTCTGTGTAGTCCTCTGCAAAATATAGGCCCAATATTTTAAAACAATTCCTCTAGTGTTTAGTATCCAATTTTTCCCATTCCCTAAAATGGAAATAGATTTTTTTCTTCTTATAGTAAAATGACACACGAACAGGCATGTGTGTGTACAATAGATGACAGTGGTTAATAAAAACCAGCTTTGTCACAATTGGCCTGGGAGACTGGAACCTAAAGAGACTAGGATAGAGACGAAAATAATGTCAAAAATCTACATCATCTCTTGCCTTGTCTCAGGTTTTTTTCATATTCTTCCTTTTTTTTTTTTGGTTAAGAGACGGGGTCTCGCTATGTTGCCCAGGCTGGAGTGCAGTGGCTATTCACAGGTGCGACCCCACTACTGCTTACCATGGGAGTTTTGACCTGCTCTGTTTCCGACCTGGGCTGGTTCACCCCTCCTTAGACAACCCGGTGGTTCCCTATTCCCGGGAGGTCACCAGATTGATGCCGAAGTTAGTGTAGACACCCGATCGGCATAGCACTCTACAGCCCCGAACTCCTGGGCTCAAGTGATCCTCCAGCCTCAGCCTCCCGAGTAGCTGGGACTACAGGCACACACCACCGTGGCCAGTAGATTATATCCTTCCTTTCTGTCCTGCCCAGCCAGTAAATGGGGGATCACAGAAAATGTGCAAAACCATCTCCTGAATTTAGTTGGAAAGCTTCATCTTTACACTTAGTTCAGCTCAGATACAATTCCACTGGGCTCCAGGAGTCAAGCTCCTTTTGGCTCTCACGGAGGCTCTGGCATTTCCCACTGTATGTCTCTGGATTAAGTTACTCAGCATGTGTGTGCTTTAGCGTCCTTACCTCTTGACACGAGGAGTCAGTGGAATAATATCATGAAGGGTTTGACACTGCACCTGGCAGAAGGTAAGCACCTGACAGAAACTGAAGCTTCACAGCTAGAGGCTACAGTGACACACTGCTTCAGAAAGCCAGAGGCCAATATTTCCCAGTAATAGTTGCAAATGCTTTTCCATACAGGAATGGCAGTTATACTCAATGTCTTGAAAAGCTGGCATTATCTGTTCAGAAGAGGAAACACTTCTGGAGAATGTCTGGACTTGCTAAAAACTAGTGAGCAGGCCACATGAATACCCCACTTCTGGCTCGGTGTGGTGGCCCAACACTTTGGGAGGTAAGGGGGGTACTGTTTGAGCCTAGGAATTTGAGACCAGACAACAGAGTAAGATCTGCCTCCACACAAACCAACCAAAGACCTCACTCCTGTACTCACCAGAATGGAAAGGGGCAAAGGCTTGTCTCTGCTCCTGGCTATAATGGCACTGGTCCCAGTATTGAGCCAGCTCCACTCGAATTGCCTCGATCATTTTCTCCAGGTTTTGCATTTTTAGTACATCCAACCGATCCACTTCTAATTGCAGCTGAAAGAAAGAGACTTACTAAAGGTGGCTGCCATACTTCTGTATGCATTTAGGTTTGCAAAAGTTTCCCCCCTTTTAAGTAAAATTATAATGCCAAGCCATAGAGGTATTATAAATCAACACTTTTTTTTTTTTTGAGACGGGGTCTCTTTTTCTCACCCAGACTGGAGTGCAGTGGCATAATCTTGGCTCACTGTTACCTCTGCCTCCCAGCTTCAAGTGATTCTCCTGCCTCAGCCTCTCAAGTAACTGGGGTTACAGGCGCACACCACTACCACCCGGCTCATTTTATTTTTAGTAGAGATGGGGTTTCACTGTGTTGGCCAGGCTGGTCTTGAACTCCTGACCCCAAATGATCCACCCGCCTTAGTATCCCAATGTGCAGGGCTTACAGGCGTGAGCCACTGTGCCCAACCAAATCAACACTCTTTATAACACAGAAGTGCTGAGAGAAGACTGCTGACCCAGCACCCACTGGGTTTCTTACCGCTTTCCGAACCTCGGCCTTTGACCCAGACGTGATGGCGGGCACAGCTTCTCTCTCTTCTTCAGGTATTTGCAGGCTGTCCCAGAGCTCTCAGATTTGAGCACACAGACCCTCACACACTGCTTCCTTTTGTGATTTCTGCATTTCCAGCTACAGTACAGAAAGCCAGTGTCATTCACAGCAAAGCAGCAGCACAGAGACTAGCCCTCTGGCTTCCTACAAAGAAATGTCTGAACGCACAGGGAAAGGAGGCCCTTTCATGAGAGTTCAAAGCAGCGTTTTCATGCCTTCTAAACACAAGCTGTAAGGCTGTCAGGATCTCAGACTCCAAGAATTAGCATTCAAATTTAGAACTGAAAAGAACGTTTAAAACACTAGGCTAATTCAAATGACTAATATTATTTCATCTATAATTTCAACTTCATTTTCTTGGAGTTACATATAAAGTTTTTTTAACTGTTACAAAACAAAAATCAAGATTGTATATATTGCCATCATTATCGTCTCTCATTCTCTTACCTGCCTTGGCTCCTTATTTAAGACTAAAGAAGGGCCGGGCGCGGTGGCTCAAGCCTGTAATCCCAGCACTTTGGGAGGCCAAGGCGGGTGGATCACGAGGTCGAGAGATCGAGACCATCCTGGTCAACATGGTGAAACCCCATCTCTACTAAAAATACAAAAAATTAGCTGGGCGTGGTGGCACGTGCCTGTAATCCCAGCTACTCAGGAGGCTGAGGCAGGAGAATTGCCTGAACCCAGGAGGCGGAGGTTGTGGTGAGCCGAGATCGCGTCATTGCACTCCAGCCTGGGTAACAAGAGTGAAACTCCGTCTCAAGAAAAAAAAAAAAAAAAAAAGACTAAAGAAAAACTGTTTTTTGTTGTTGTTGTTGTTTTCTCTTTGAGACAGTCTCGCTCTGTTGCCCAGGCTGCAGTGCGGTGGCACGATCTTGCCTTACCGCAACCTTCACCTCCCAGGTTCAAGCAATTCTCCTGCCTCAGTCTCCCAAGTAGCTGGGATTACAGGCATGTGCCACCACGCCCAGCTAATTTTATATTTTTAGTAGAGACGGGGGTTTCACCATATTGGCCAGGCTGGTCTCGAACTCCTGACCTTGTGATCCACCCGCCTCGTCCTCTCAAAGTGCTGGGATTACAGGCGTGAGCCACCACACCCAGCAACTGTCAGTTTTTTCAAACTGCTCTATACCAGGGAGATCCCAGGGATAATTTGAGAAGACAGTACCTGCCGCAGCAACTTCTGTAGTGTTGCAATATTCTCCAAAGACAAGCAAAAGGCATCTTCATCTTCACACGCCACATCTCTTTCAAAGCTTGTGTCTGGGGTGTGGTCTAATTCCTCCATACACAGTATGATCTGTCTCTTTATACTGACAAACTCCTCATGCCTAGAAGCCTTTAAAACAAAGCAATTACAAGGTACCTAGAGGAAAACCAAAGTGACTTCTAGGAAGTATGAATGTAGGCAGTGTACCTTTGTTTCCCTCAAAGTGGCCACATGCTGCCTGAACTGGTTCAGCTCTTCTAAGCTGGGCACTGAGGCACTATCAGTATTATAGCGGGGCATACAAAGAATTTCACACAGTTCTTGATCTTGCTCTTGAAGTAGCTTCAGTTCCTGTTTTCTCTCCTTTTTCTGTTTTCGCATCAATTCCACCTGCGTGCGCAAATATTTTTCTAGTTGCAAGATGGTAGTCTCCCCTTCGTCCTGAATAAGACAATGTAGCACTGTTATAAGATTCCAAGTGGCCGGGCGCGGTGGCTCAAGCCTGTAATCCCAGCACTTTGGGAGGCCGAGGCGGGTGGATCACAAGGTCAAGATATCGAGACCATCCCGGTCAACATGGCGAAACCCCGTCTCTACTAAAAAGACAAAAAATTAGCTGGGCATGGTGGCACGTGCCTATAATCCCAGCTACTCAGGAGGCTGAGGCAGGAGAATCGCCTGAACCCAGGAGGCGGAGGTTGCGGTGAGCCAAGATCGTGCCATTGCACTCCAGCCTGGGTAACAAGAGTGAAACTCCGTCTTAAAAAAAAAAAAAAAAAAAGATTCCAAGTGAATTCCTTCAACGGAAGAGAAGACAAGAGAAGGAAGCTAGGATGACAGACTTTCAGTTAAACTTACAAGTCAGTCAACTCATGGTCAACAGAAAATGGCACAAAGGTTTTCCTAAGGAAGGTCCCAGTGAAGAAAAGTGAACAGGTACCAGGGTACTTTCTTCCCCCAGTTAAAAAAATTGTGGTAGAATACATATACAATTTACTTTCTTGAACCATTAAGTGTGCAGTTCAGTGGTATTAAGTGTACTGTTCAGTGGTATTAAGTGTACTGTTCAGTGGTATTAAGTGTACCATTCAGTGGTAGTAAGTGCAGAGTTCAGTGGAATTAAGGGTAGAGTTCAGTGGTATTAAGTATACCATTCAGTGGTATTAAGTGTACCATTTGGTGGTATTAAGTGTAGAGTTCAGTGGTATTAAGTCAGTGGTATTAAGTGTAGAGTTCAGTGGTATTAAGTACACCGTTTGGTGGTATTAAGCATAGAGTTCAGTGGTGTTAAGTGTAGAGTTTGGTGGTGTTAAGCGTAGAGTTTGGTGGTGTTAAGTGTACCGTTCGGTGCTGTTAAGGGTAGAGTTCAGTGGCATTAAGGGTAGAGTTCAGTGGCATTAAGGGTAGAGTTCAGTGGCATTAAGGGTAGAGTTCAGTGGCATTAAGGGTAGAGTTCAGTGGCATTAAGTGTAGAGTTCAGTGGCATTAAGTGCATTGTTCAGTGGTATTAAGTGCATTGTTCAGTGGTATTAAGTGCATTGTTCAGTGGTATTAAGTGCATTGTTCAGTGGTATTAAGTGCATTGTTCAGTGGTATTAAGTGTATTGTTCAGTGGTATTAAGTGTATTGTTCAGTGGTATTAAGTGTATTGTTCAGTGGTATTAGGTACAGCTGTATTGTTATGCAACCATGACCATCATCTCCAAATGCATTTCCTCTTGCAAAAGTGAAATTTCAAACTCAAACAGTAAGTCTCCAGTTTTTCCCTGCCCCAAGCCTGGCAACCACCATTTTACTTTTTGTCTCTATCATTAGACTTCTCCAGACACTGGGCACTTTTATAAAAAGTGTAAATTGGCTGGAAAGCTTGCTTTGGGTTAGCTTGAGGGTGGTATGACTAGCTCATATCTAAATACTCATCCTTCTATGGACGTCATCTCACCTTACCAACAAAAACCCGTCTAGTCGTCCCTGCCATACTCCTAACTGGTAACCAGGAAAAAAAAGTGGCATTTTTTTTTTATAGGACATATAAATTTTTCTTGTATGTCCTACAAATTTACACAATTTCACTTAAGATTGTGAACTAATCTATTATATTTAAGACATTTATGTTGACTCCAGGAAGCTCCACTTCATGTTCTCCTCTGCCTGATTATTCTTGACTACCAGGTGTGGATTATCCTTTGCTCTTTAAAGGTGGTCTCCCTCCTAGGCTAACTCCAAACAGATACCTAGGCAGGTCTTCCTCTAACAGGAGGAGGGACCCGAGAACCTTCTGGTTGCACTCATTATCTTTCCAATCTCCACATCTGTCCTAATTTTTATGATCCTGGCACTGCTGCCACTGGTTCTAAGCAGAGATGTTTCAGTACCCCATGTTTCATTTCATCCTTGCTGGTGTCTTCACTGAAGTCCGACTTGCAGTGACCCACAATATAGCCACCTCTCAGCTCCACCCACCGACAGATGTCAGGGCATGCTCTGAACTGGACTTTGCACTCCTGATATTCCAGCTTTTGAGACATTTCTTCTAAAGTAGCTATTTTGGTTGGTTCAGTGTATGCAGCTTCTGGGTATGATAAAACCCACAAAGGTTGTTGTTTTGGGTGGTATTCCTTCTTATCATTAGTTACTTTTGCTGTTTTCATTTTCTTTCAGAGAAAAAACAGTGCAGTACTATCTATACCTACCTTTCTTTCAGAGTTTATTTAAAAAAAAATTAATATTCCCTACAAAGCAAAACTACGGTAAGCGGCAGCTTCTTTCTGATCATCTCTTAGCTGCTTCACCTCTCACCAGGGCAGCTCTCCCCAGAGGCAAGAATTCCTCTGCAGGGCCTAATTAACGATGCACCATGTTTCCCCATTTCTCATGTCTAGCTCCACCCCTATCAGGAAGCCTCTCATCATCTGCAGGCCCAAGTCAATGCTGCTTCCTAAATCTGAGGCCCTACACAGTTTCCCTAGAGACCCTGTGGGCTGCCACAGACCTGAAATGGCTCGTCGCGTAACTCAGTGTACAGAGTGTTCAGCTCTTTTTGACAGATAGACATGCTTTTGATGAGTCTTTCCTTCAGGCTTTCCTCTTCGGCAATCATATCCAGGAGTTCCTAAAAGAGAGAAAACAGTCCATAATACTGAGGCCATGGAGGTAAAAAACACCAAACTCCTCAAATTTTTTTTTCCTTTTTTTTTTTTTCTTTTAGACGGAGTTTCACTCTTGTTACCCAGGCTGGAGTGCAATGGCACGATCTCAGCTCACCGCAACCTCCGCCTCCTAGGTTCAGGCAATTCTCCTGCCTCAGCCTCCTGAGTAGCTGGGATTACAGGCACGTGCCACCATGCCCAGCTAATTTTTAGTATTTTTAGTAGAGACGGGGTTTCACCATGTTGACCAGGATGGTCTCGATCTCTTGACCTCGTGATCCACCTGCCTCGGCCTCCCAAAGTGCTGGGATTACAAGCTTGAGCCACCGTGCCCGGCCTCTTTTTTCTTTTTTTTTTTGAGACAGAGCCTCACTCTGTCACCCAGGCCAGAGTGCAATGACGAGATCTCGGCTCACTGCAACCTCCACCTCCCGAGTTCAAGTGATTCTCCTGCCTCAGCCTCCCGAGTAGCTGGGATTACAGATGCCCACCAATGCACCTGGCTAATTTTTGTATTTTTAGTAGAGACGGGGTTTTACCACGTTGGTCAGGCTGACCTCAAGCAATCCACACACCTTGGCCTCCCAAAGTGCTAGTATTACAGGCATGAGCCACTGCGCCCAGCCTCATCAAATTTCAAGAAGGGACTTCAAAACCAAACAGGAAGAGCCTGTGCTATCCTAACGCTGTGATCATATATCCCTTCTGTATGCCATCTGAGGTAAGACACCAACATTCTGACCCTGGTCCAATGCACAGCCCAGCACTATTAAACCTACCTTGATATGCTTCTTCACCACCTCAGTTCTTTGTAACCGCTGGCCCTCTGGAATTCCAATTAGCTCCCATATCTCCCGAAGGCGATTTAGGGCTTTCTGCAGACATACTATGGACTCCTTCGCCAGCACCTCACTGAACACCAAAAAACAAGGCCTGTTAGTTACATCAGTCACAGCCTCTAGACTAAAAGCACTATTTTCAAGAACTAAAAAGACTAGCTTCTCATGGCCGGGCATGGTGGCTCATGCCTGTAATCCCAGCACTTTTGGAAGCCGAGTCGGCCAGATCACCTAAGGTCAGGAGTTCGAGACCAGCCTGGCCAACATGGTGAAACCTCGTCTCTACTAAAAAGACTAGCTTCTCAGTGGCCTCAGCAAAAGCACACTGAAAACAAGCATCCAGCTTAATTCACCTTTAACCACTCCCCATCCCTTTTCCTGCCAGATGTCACCAGCAATGCAAGATTTCATATATTACATCATGGAAACTCAACCTTCTGGACTTTCATCAGTCATCTACCTATGGAAGTAGAAAACAGAATTATAAATACTTTTACTAAAGAAAACCAGACAAAAATGTTGGTAAAATAAACTAACACAAGAGCCTGCCGGTAAGAAGCTCCTACAAAATATCTGGCAATTTATCACTAGCTTTTGATTGTTCTTTGAGACAATGTGTTGCTCTATTACCCAGGCTGGTGTGCAGTGGCATAATCTGAGCTCACTGCAGCCTCGGCCTCCTGGGTTCATCCCGCCTCCTGGGTTCTCCTGACTCAGCCTCCTGAGACTAAAGGCGTGTGCTACCATGCCCAGCTAATTTTTGTATTTGGAGTAGAGATGAGGTTTCGCCATATTGGTCAGACTCATGTCCTCAAGTGATCTACCCGTTTTGGCCTCCCAAAGTGCTGGGATTACAGGTGTGAACCACCATACCTGGCCCATTATTCTTAAAATACAACTAGCAGCTCAAAGAATGGCTAAAGTTAAAAAGACAACATTAAGTGTTGGTTGAGTATAGGGAAAAGTGAGAACTTTCATATACTGCTGGCATGGTGTAAATTGGTACAACTATTTTTAAAACTGTTGGCAGTCTATCTCCTAAAGCTGAACCCAGCAGTTCTACCTCTACATACAGAACTAGCAGAAATGAACACATACGTTCACCAAAGACACATATGAGAATGGTCAGAGACGTGTTACTCATAAAGCATGGAAACAGAAACAAGCTAGATGTCTATCAACAGAATGAATAGTACATTCCCACAATGCAGTAACACAGCAATAAAAATGAACAAACCCACCGGGTGTGGTGGTTCATGCCAGTAATCTCAGCACTTTGAGAGGCCGAGGGCAGGCCACCTCGGAGCTAGAAACTTTCATTAGGGCCTTTCTGTCTCAGAGAGTTCAGTGGTTCTACAAGTCACCAGCCTAAATCTCTAACAATGCATCTCTCCAAAGCTGTTAATATGTTGTGGCCTAGAATTAGAGCCTAAACACCACCATTGTATAAAAGAAAAAGCTGATTTTCAAAAATTAAGTTGTAAAGGCTGCCCCATTCTCCTCACAATAACTGCGGGCCTTGGCCTCTGTAAATACAACTGCTAGTTTACTTTGCAAAATGCAAAAAGGTAAAGCCGCTTATCAGCAACTGCCAGAGTTGCTAGTCTTTGCTTACCGGTAATAACCGGAATAATTCCATCCTGGCTCCTGCAGCTTGTAATAAGTGACTAAAATCTGTTATTTCTACCTTAAACTCAGACAATGTGCAAACTAACGCTTATCTTGACTTCTGTAAGCCACTTAGGTAACAATCAAAGTGACAACAAGTCCTCTAGCCCTCGGAATGTCCGCAGACCCGCACCCTCCTCCCTGCCAGGGGAAGTGATTTACAGAATCCCCTGGCCCTCAGAATGTCTAAATCCCTTCACCTCCACCCCCGTCCCACACTCTCACCCCCAAAGGTGGGCATAAAAAAGGTCTTGTCACCCTGCTTTCGTCACCACGGGTTAAAGAGACGCAAGTCCTCCGTAGTCGCCGGCATAATAAACCCTGTAATTTAGCATACTTTTGTCTTAGTGTTAACTTTCTATGCTCAGTCCAGTACGACAAATACATTCATATCCAAAATATCTCTAGCCATGAAATCCCAGTTTAGAGGTTGCCTGTCCTTGAGAAACGTTTCTACACAAATACCTGTTGCCTATGCCAGATGGCCATATCACCAATACCCAAATATTGACAAATGTTTAAAAGAATTGACTCTACTCCCTTCACTTTAAAAATGTTGACAGTTCAAGTCCAACAGAAGGAAAAGAAGAAATGTTAGTAAGTAAGCCATGTATTTAATACAATCTCAACTAAAGTCCAACTAAAGAGCTTCCTCAGGCAAACGCTCCTTTTGCACTTCATTTTGAAGACAAAAGAATGCACAAGTTAAAATTCTAATATTCATATTTTATTAAAAATAACTCTTAAGATCTAATCTGTGGCCAGTATTCAACCTGGATGCAAAGCCCTGGCTTTGAGACAGGCCAGCTAGGAGCACTGCTCTGGAGGTCATTACTTCAGTAAATGTCCCAGAGTCTCCTCCGTCTGACAGACCTGCCCCTGCCTAGCCCATCTCCACATGACGGCTAGTTTGTCAGGACAACAAACCCCATCAGATCCCTGGCTAAGGGATCCCCTACAAAGACCCCACTGTCCTCAGGAAATAGTTCAACCACCTTCCACGGAAAGGCCTTCTAAAATCTCTCTCCAAACCTGTCTGCTTATCTTTCCCACTTGTCACTCCCAAGTCTTCACCCATTCCCAGAACAATTCCCCTCAATAAACCACATGCAGCCCTCATGTGGTTCATGCCACCATGCAGCCCTCATTTGGGGTTCATGCAGCCCTCATTTCTTCATGCCACCGTGCTTTGTACCTTCAGTTCCTTCTATCTGCCACTACCTCCTCTGGAGAGCTGTGGACTTGTCACTCACTTCCCATTTTCCCCCAGCCCCCCAGCAGACCATACATTCCAGGGCAAGGACCTCCACATCTTCATTTTACCACACCCTAATGCAGGGGTCCCCAAACTTTTTACACAGGGGGCCAGTTCACTGTCCCTCAGACCGTTGGAGGGCCGGACTATAAAAAAAACTATGAACAAGACCACCAATGAAAGAGGTGCCCCTTCCTGAAGTGCGGCGGGGGGCCAGATAAATGGCCTCAGGGGGCCGCATGCAGTCCGCAGGCTGTAGTTTGGGGAAGTTTGCCCTAATGCATAGTAGTTGTTCAACAGATATAAAATGAATGGCCCTGAATTCCTCCCAAAGGGTCCTGTGCTCCTAACCTACATAACCTAATAATGGTATTATGCATTCTCAGATCCTGACAAAGGTTTACAAGCAGCGCTGCATCTCTCTGTAACACATCTAAAAGGCAAAGTGACCATTTTTCTGAATAAAAAAATCTAGCACAATGGGCAAAGAATCTGAATAGGCATTTCTCCAAGGAAGATGTAAAAATGGCCAATAAGCACAAGAAAGAGGCTCAATATTAGTCATTAGGGAAATGCAAATCAAAACCACTTCACAGCCAACAGGACGATTATAACAAAAAAATGTATACAGCAACAAGTATTGGTGAGAATCTAGAAAATCTAGAACCCTCAGACACTGCTTGTGAGAATGCAAGATGGTGCAGCCTCTTTGAAAAAACAGTCTAGGCAGGGTGTGGCTCACACCTGTAATCCCAGCACTTTGGGAGGCCAAGAAGGGCACATCACCTGAGGTCAGGGGTTCAAAACCACCTTGGCCAAAATGGCAAAACCCCATCTCTACTAAAAATACAAAAATTAGCTGAGCGCAGTGGTAGGCACCTATAATCCCAGCTACTCAAGAGGCTGAGGCAGAAGAATTGCTTGAACCCAGGAGGCGGAGGTTGCAGTGAGCAGAGATCGTGCCACTGTACTCCAGCCTGGTGACAGAGCAAGACTCTGTCTCAAAAAAAAAAAAAAAAAAAAAAATAGAAAACAGTCTGATTGCTACTCAGTTGTTTCTTTTTTTTTTTTTTTTTTTTTTTTTTTTTGAGACAGGGCCTCACTGTCACCTGGGTTGGAGTGCAGTGGTATGATCAGAGCTCCCTGCAGCCTCAACCTCCCGGGCTCAAGGCAATTCTCCCTGCTTAGCCTCCCAAGTAGCTGTGACTACAGACATGTACCATCACACTTGGCTAGTTTTTGTTTTTTTGTTAAAGGTTTGCCATGTTACTCAGGCTGGTCTTGAACTCCTGGGCCCAAGCGATCCTCCCACCTTGGCCTCCCAAAGTGTTGGGATTACAAACATGAGCCACTGCACCCAGCCCCTCAGTTTAACAGAGTTCATACAACCCAGCAATTTTATTACTGGGTTTTTACCCAAACGAAATGAAAACATTTATATTACAACAACACAAATGTTTATAGCAGCATTATTTATGATAGCCAAAAAGCGGGAAGAAACAACACAAATGGCCATCAACTTATGAATGGGTAAATAAAATGTAGTGTATAGCCATACAATGGAATATTATTTGGCAATAAACCTTGAAAACATGCTAAGTCAAAGAAGCAAGTCAAAAAAGACCACAGTGATGGTTCTGTTTATATGAAATATCCAGAATCAGTAAAAAGTAGATTTGGGGTTTTTTGTTTGTTTTGGTTTTGGTTTTCTTTTTTTTTTGAGACAGGGTTTCCCTCTTTCACCCAGGTTGGAGTGCAGTAATGTGATCATGGCTCACTGCAGCCTCAACCTCCTAGGCTCAGGTGATCCTCCCACCTCGGCCTCCTCCGGAGTAGATGGGACTACAGGTTTGAGCCACCACACCCCCAGCTAACTTAAAAATTTTTTTTTTGTAGAAGCAGAGTCTCCCTATGTTGCCCAAGCTGTTCTTGAACTCCTGGATTCAAGCAGTCCTCCCAACTCGGCCTCCCGAAGTGCTGGGATTATAGATGTAAGCCACCTTTGCCTAGCCAAAAAGTACATTTGTACTTGGGGGTGGAGACAATTT